CAAAAAAATTACAAATTTTAAAATTGACAAATTTTGTCATTTTTTTTCTTAAAACATCCATAACTTTTTCAAAAATCAACAAATCAACATAATTTTTTTTTAAACTAAAACCTTAGATAATTTTTTTTCATTTGATATAACTTTTTTGAAAATTTAACACATAGCCTGCTCATGGGAGGGGATTTAAAATTGCAACTTTTTTACAAAAACTAACTTTTTCAACTTAATTTTTGAAAATGTTCCGGAAATACTGCGTCCTTTAAACATATATAAAATTAAAGCTTATTTTATGTACTATAAAATGAAGAAAAAAAAATTTGTCCCGACACTTTATCTTCTGCATGTAAACGGTTGCCGTAGTTAAAAAAACATTATTTTTGTGTTAAAATTTTCGAATTTCGATTTTTAATTTTCAACTTAAAAATGCTATAACTTTTCGAAAAATATATGTATCAGCACAATTTTTTTTTTCTAAATACATCATAAGTACATCTTCCATTTGACATACTTTTTATTAAAATTGGACAATTTCCCCTTATATAGGGGTCGTTCAAAACTTAAAATATTGTAAAAAACATAGATCTTTTTCAACTCAACTTTTGAAAATGTTCCAGAAATACTGCGTCCTTTACACATATATCAAATCAAAGGTTATGTTATATAANAACATATATCAAATCAAAGGTTATTTTATATACTATCAAATGAAAAAAAAAAATTTGTCCCGACATCATATCTTCTATGTGCAAATGGCTGTCGAAAATTTAAAAAAAAATGTAATGATTGCGATAAAAATCATCTTTTATCGGGATGTTTTTTCTACTTAAAACTGCCATAACTTTTTCAAATATCAACAAATCACCATAATTTTTTTTTATACTAAAACCTTAGATATTTACCTTTCATTTGATATCATTTTTTTGAAAATCTATCACTTAACCTGCTCATTGGGAGGATTTAAAATAGTAACTTTTTTACAAAAAATAACTTTTTCAACTTAATTTTTGAAAATGTTCCGGAATAACTGCGTCCTTTAAACATATATAAAATTAAAGCTTATTTTATGTACTATAAAATGAAAAAAAAAAATTTGTCCCGACACCTTATCTTCTATGTGCAAATGGCTGTCGAAATTATAAAAAAAATGTAATGTTTACGATAAAAATCACCTTCTATCGGGATGTTTTTTGTACTTAAAACTGCCATAACTTTTTCAAATATTAACTAATCAAAATAATATTTCTTTATATTGAAACCTTAGGTAATTTTCTTTCATTTGATATCATTTTTTTTTGAAAATCTAACACTTATTCTGCTCACAGGGGGGATTTAAAATAGCAACTTTTTTACAAAAACTAACTTTTTCAACTTAATTTTTGAAAATGTTCCGGATATACTGCGTCCTTTAAACATAAATCAAATTAAAGCTTATTTTATGTACTATAAAATGAAAAAAAAATTTGTCCCGACAACCTATCTTCTATGTGCAAATGGCTACCGTATTCAAAAATATGCTATTCTTCTATTAAAATTCTAGGTTTTGTATTTTATTTTATTTTAAAATATCTTATTAGGAGAATATATTGACTTTCATGAATATTATATAATTTAATTGACATAGAATAAAGTTCATAAGACATAAGAAATTAAACTTATTAAATTTTTTTTACTTTTTTAAAGTCGAAAAAGTAATTTTTAAATTTGAGTTAGCTTAAATAGCCAATTTTATCATGCAACAAAAAGCAACGAACAGTTGCCGAATGGGTAACATCTTGATCTTTCACCCATATGGTACGAGGTTCAAATCCGTCTGACTTCTAAAATTTTTTTTTTGAGTTAAAATAGAATTTTCAAATCATTTGATATTTATTACATTTAGATTCAATAATTTCAATAAATATAAAGNGAATAGAATTTTCAAATCATTTGATATTTATCTCATTTAGATTCAATAATTTCAATAAATATAAAGGATCTTATCACTATAGTCTCCCCTCGTGAGAAGAAATTGATATTCATGTTAATATTATTTTACTATGTGGTTCTTTTTGTGGCTACGATTTATTTTGCCAACCCTCACTAGACCTACTTTTTTCAACGATACGTCAAATGATTCATTTAAGTTTATGATATTTAAGTTAATGATTAGTTTAAGTTATTACTCTTAAAAATCAAAAAAATATTCCTTATTCAAATAAAAAGTAGCTTAACCAGCTTTTTCCATACAAACAATTAAAATCATTAATTTTTAATATTCTTAAAGTATTTATTGTCGAATTATATTTGATATGATAAAAGTATTCAACTACAATAGTAAATAATTCTACTTTATAATTTATTAATTTTTAACTCTATTTATGTGTGCTACTACCAGTCTATAATATGCCAAATTTTTTTGTAATTTGTTGCTATATAAATCATAAATTTTAAATAAAAATGATTTTTAGTTTCACCTGAATTTAACGATGGATTTTTATATTTCAATTAAAAATCAATTATAATAATAATAATCAATTAAATCAATTATAAATATATTTTTGATAATACGCTCAATTGAGTAAATCTTTTTAACTACTTTGGTTTGATTGGTTCATTTAATTAAAGTAAATTATTAAAATTAATTAAGTTCTGAATATTTCAATTGCAGAATTTTTTTAAACACCAAAAGTTATTAGGATATGATTACTATTCTTTCTATTTCAGTTATCTATTACGATAAAAATGCAAAAAAATCGAATTTTTCTAATAAATGTAATTTAATTAGTAATTATAAAATTTCCAGATTGCATATTAATCTTAAAAATTTCATTTTTTTCAATTTAATAATGTCAATTTCAAACTTGCAAGTTGAACTATAAGTTATGGTAACAAATTCATTTTTTAGCTTCGATGCGAAGCTGAGAAGGTATTTTTCATTAAAACTTTCACTTTAAAAGACAATAAAAAATAGGTTCAAAATGATTACCTTTAACATATTAAAAATCAAAATCAGTATTAATTTAATACAATTTTTTTTGTTCTTAATTATTTTTTTTTATATGTAAATACTTATTTTTTAATAATAAGTAATAATATTAAAACTTAGAAGTAATAGAAAAAGTTTAATTGCACATTTGAAAACATCACGAAAAGTTTATTTAGAAAAGTATATTTTTTTTCTGATGAAAGTTCCTTTTGTTTAGTGTATTTATTCATAAGTAACAAAATTTTTTTATTAAAAAGTATTGCATAAATTCCTTTAAATTTGTATACGCATTAAAAGTATATGAATATACAACTCCTTTTTATTTTTATAATATCTCCGTAAAAATTACAATATTATATTATTGAATACCACTTTCATACTCAATTTAATTACTGTAATTATTATGTATTCATATATTATAGTTATAAATCGGGGTAAAATTAAGGGAATAAGTGTTATTGTTGTTTTTGAAATAATCTACCAATTTCATTTTTTTCTATTTAATAATATTTATTTCAAACTTGCAAGTTGAGTTAAAAGTTATGGTAATAAATTCATTTTTTTTTTATTAAAACTTTCACTTTAAAGAACAAAAAGAAGTAGGTTCAAAATGATTACTTTTAACATATTAAAAATCAATAATAATTTGAAAATAATTAATTATAAAAATTATATAATATATAATTAAAATAATTACTAATCTGGATATAATTAAGGAAATAGGAGTTGATGTTGGGTTGGGTTGGTTACATTTTTAACTTTATAATGCTATAACTCATTGAAAAGTGTATGAATCAACACAATTTTTTTATGAGAAATAATATTTTTTAATAATCCCTTTTTCATTCGACATACTTTATCTTAATCAGGGTATTAATAAGGAACTAGCAGATAATGCAGCTTTTGTAATTATCCACCAATTTCTTAGAATTAAACACTATCTACTGATTTGCATCGAAGCGTTTCTTATGATAGTGATTTTAATCACTGTCAGATTAAATCTATACTGGACCCAACTATGCAACGTCCCCACTGTGCTGGGTTTTTTTTTTTGTTCGTTTAGGTCTGAAAAACCTAAATTTAATTTTTTTTAATAGGAACTCCTATTTTTAGTTTTATTGATTTAAAAAAAAATCCAGCACAGTAAGTACATAGTAAATTTGAATACGTATTGATGATATCTCACAATGATTAATATTATTATCATAAAAATCATTCAATGGATATCTATAGAAGGTATTTAATTATTTGAAGAATCTATTAGAAATATTCCAAAAGCTATATAAACTCACATTTCTTTAATTTTATCTTGATTACAAATTTTATTATATATAAGTGTAGTATTTGAATAAATACTTATTGAAGTAATTAAATTTAGTTTATTTATAAAATTAAGTTTAGAAATACAACCTTGAATATTTGAACTAGTTTAAATTGTCCTATTTAGCTATAAATTATTATAACGTTCTGTTGCCGTGTCAATAACAACAGAGTGTTTTACGCAAGGGGTACGTAGTGTTGACCCCATCTATCGAAATGACTTTTATCTTCGACGCTAAGCTGAGAAGGTATTAATTTTACTATATGTTTTTTTTTTTGTATCTGTTACCACTTTTTCTCAGCTTGAATCAATTTTTTTATTATGGAAAACAAATGTCTTTTTTCTTTAAAATTGACATTGTCTTTATATACAATGTCTTCATTTATACGGTGGATATGGCTACCGTTTGTACTCTTGTGTTAAAATACTCGATTTCATATAATACATATATATTTGTATATTTTTAACTTTATAACGCTATAATTTTTTGATAAATCTATGGACCAATACATTTTTTTTATGATAAATACTATTTATACACCTCTTTTATTCGACATATTTTTTTTTTAAATCGGACCATTTCCCTCTATACAAGGTGTTTCAAAACTTAAAAAGCATACTAAAACTTAAATATTCCAACAATTTTTTAAAATTAAATACCATCTACAGATTTGCATCAATAGTGATTTTAATCACTGAAAAAAAAAATTTAAATCCGAAAATCTGTTATTTATTAAAAAAATATTTTTATTTTTTGGTTATACTTTTATAACCTATACACAAAGCTCAATTTTTTAGGGACACGAAAACTATTCTTTGTGTTCTTCGAGTGATTTATTATAAACATCATTATATTTAGCAATAATGTCTTTTATAAATTTCTTTTCAACATCATTCAATGATTTCTAGAAAAAAAAATTCATTTAGACAATATCAAATTGTATTTATTATAACTAATTATAAAATTTACAAAATTACATATTAAAATTGAAGTTTTTGAACCCACTAATTTTTATTTCATAAAATAGTTTCAATTCATAATGAATAGTTAAAAAAAAACTTTGTTGACCCTTAAATGTTTAACATAAGAGCATTTTTATCGTATTTTGAGTAAGTGTATTCTGGAATTTTTCACGAGGTCATATACATCAGATATCTAACTACTATCATCAAATATTACTTTAGATGTGTAATTATTACAGATGTCCATGCGATCTATTATCCATGTTTTATTTCCCTTAAAACGCCCTTAATTATTCCGTACAACATTTATTACAAACAATTTGAACTTACCCAAATTTCAATTGTAAATTTATTGCTTTCATGGTTAAGTAAGTCATAAGCAAAATTTTTAAAGCAAGATTTGGAGATTTTTATGCAGTCTTCTTTATCTAACGTATCATTTTTATTGTTATTAATTTCATTATTATTATTTTCATCGTTATTATTTTCATTGTTATAATTTTCAATATTATTAATTTCATCGTTATTATTTTCCTTGTTATCATTTTCAATGTTAGTATTGTTATCTTTATTATTTTCATTGTTATCATTTTCAATGTTATTAATTTCATCGTTATCATTTTCAATGTTTTTGATTTCATCGTTATTATTTTCATTATTATCATTTTCAATGTTATTATTGTCATTATTATTATTTTGATTATTAAGGTGTAATGTTATATTATCATTATAGCAAAAAAATTCAATGACTTTTTCAATATTTATCATTACATCATAATTTGTTTCCAGGAAATCATAACAAATATCAATTATCATTTCGTTACATTTACCTTCATTAGTTTTAATGCATAAAAAAATATATATTAATAAAATATTATCTTATTACAATTTGATATCTAATTATATGGTTATTATAATAATTCTTATACTATAAATAAGTGCACCAAGAAGTAGTGATCTTATAATTATGCATTAACAAATTATTTGTAAAGAATGGTATACCTAAATATTATATTTAAATTTTTACGTTTAATATAAGTAAGGTGAGCTCTTAACTTATATTTAGCTAACTTAAATATTATTTTGTTCTTAATATTTAAAATAACTTACCAACCATACGTAGTAATGTTCCAAAGGTTGTGTCTAAAATTAAATAAATATTCTTTTAAAACAAATTTAACTATTAAATTTCTTTAAGGTACAAGTTTTTCTGATAAAAAATATTAATTTTCCAACACAAAATTTTGTTCAGTCAGAATTGGTTAAAAAAACGAGTTTTCCTTGATATTATTTTTTTTTGAAATTATCGATATGCAAAGCAGTAATTAAAACTTAATGTTGAATAAATGTTTATAATGTACATTAATATGCGGACAACGTAACTACAGGTTTGAGTGCATTGGTAGTTTTCTTGCTAGTTCTCTAACAACTAAATGTACTGTGTTATCTTAGTATAATTTTTTTTTTAAACTATACCCATGGTAATGTTTTATAAAGCACATGATTTTAGTATGATAAATATTTTTTACGGATACAAAAATAAATAAAGTTATCTTCGAAATTTTTTTTTTTTCAATATGTATAGATAAACTGGAATTTTGTTGAAAAACTCTCATATACGTATGTGCCTATGATTGCAAGCTCAATATCTGTTTTATAACAAAATTCATTTTTATTTTAGTGCAATAGCATTCTTAAAACATAAATTAACTTTGATTATCAATCATTCAATTTTGAGCTCATTAAATCAGAATTTGAATATATTATTTACTTAGATGATCTAATTCTAATTACAATTTTCTTTAATTGTGATAAATCCATGTAAATTAATCATGGTGAGAGATGATTATCATAGATAACAAAGAAAATTTGTCGTTGTATATTTTAAATTTAGAACTTTGTTTGCCTAAAATTTAGTTTTGTAGCAATGTGTGTTTTAATGAAATGTTGTAGAAGAAAAGAGGCCTAAAATCCGACACCTTTTGAAAATTATAAAACCGAAGCCCATATATTGGTTTCGGTTTCATATATGAAATCTAAACAAAAACTGTAACTATAAAGGAAACTAGAATTCAGCATGATTTTTATTTTAGTTGTGTGTTTTTAGCATATATTAATACCACAATTAAAATAATGAGGAGATGGGACAAATTTTTTTTCCTTTCTTAATATTAGTATTAGAAGACTATGCTCTTTTAGTTTCTCTAGATCATTGATTTAAAAAAAAAAGGAAACATTATAGGGTTGCGGCACAGTTTAGACGTGGCGTAGATGGGACAAGTATAAATAATATCTGACAGTGATTAAAATCATTATTATAAGAAACGCTTCGATGCAAATCTGTAAATAGTGTTTGATTTTAAGAAAATTGTGGATTATACCAAATGCAAAATTAATTCCATTTCCTTCATTATTCCTAATTAGTAGTAATCTGATTTAGAAGTATAGTACATGAATAAATGAAGAGTGAATGTGTCAAACGATCTATGTGCCAAAAAAGTGAAAATTGTTTTATTTCTGATTTATGTTCTATGTGCCAAAGGCCACAATCTTGTATGTGTTTCAAATGTCAATTAAATTTTTTACTTGTACAAAATTGCATTCATAGATGGTGTTCGATATGTTAGACATGCCCATGTTACCATTGTTTTTTGTGTTTTCTGAACAAATATGTTTTTGGCACATAAAACGTTTGACACATTCACTATTCAAATAGTTATTATAGCAATTAGATATAGTATGATATTGATATTTAATAATTTAGTATTGTAATTTTTACGGAAATTATAAAAAATTATAAAGTAGTTGTTACTTTTATGGAAAATGTGTATAAATATTAGAGGGCTTGATATAAAACTTTTCATATGACAATTTTTTGATATCTATGAATTAATAGTTTTACAGGAATTTTCATCATATTCTAAAATATACTTTTACAATTCAATTGTTAGTGCTTATTTCAAATTTCATTTTTTGTATCACCACTAATTTTTGATATTATTACTAATTAGTTAAAAACTACAAAATATAACTATAATAAATATAGTTCTAAATATTTATATTATATCATGTATTTAAATACCAAGAGTTACATAGAAATAATTAATATCTCTATTGAAATGATATATTACAATAGTATAGGATAAGTATAAAAATTATAATAATTGATTTTGACAAAATGTCGGGCATTTTTCATAAATTTTTAAATGTAAATACTTGTTTTTATATATAAGTAATAATATCAAAAAAAAAAAGAGGCGATGGTTAAAATCTAATTGCAGTTAATCAATATAAATAAGATAAAAATCAAACAAATTTTGAATTCTTTTCATTGATGTAATTTTTATCAAAATTGGTGTACTCATTACTATGGCAAATCCTTGTATGGTATTTTAATACAAAAATTTTATAGAAATAAAAAATAAAAATCTAGAAATTCATCACAAAAATAGCATAATTTTGAATACGGTAGCCAATTTCACCTTGTAGACAATAAAAAGGTTTATAGTTTTATAAAAGTAAATGGTGTTATTTGAAAATTAAGTATGTCGTATAAAAGGGGTGTTTTAAAAGAATATATAAAAAAAAATTCTATTGATCCGTACATTAAAAAAAAAATATATATCAATATAAATTAAAAAATATCAAATATTAAATCGAGAATTTTTTTACAAAAATCGTACGTTTTCCTTTAACTTTGTTCTTCTTTTCTTGCCTTAATCCCAACTACTTAAAGTCGGTCACCCTTATCTTAAATTTCCACTTGACACGATCTTCATGGCATTATCTACGCTTACATCACCCGTCTTCATATTGCATTCAATTACATTCCTTCATCTCTTTTTTGGTCTTCCTCTATCTCTTCGTTCTTCAACATTCATTTCTATAATTATTCTTGCAGCTTCCGATTCCTCTCTCCTCATAACTTGACCAAACCATTTAAGTCTATTTTCTTTCATCTTATCTACGATTGATGTTACATCTAAACTCCCTCTATATGTTCGTTCCTTATCCTATTTTCTCTAGTCACTACACTCATCCATCTAAGCATTCTCCTCTCTACTATACTTATTCTCTGCTCTACTCTCTTGTCAACTGCTCAACACTCTGAACCATACATCATAGTTGGTTTTACTACAGTCTTATAGAATTTACATTTCAGCCTCGTTGGAATTATTTTATCGCTTAACATACCAGACGCTTCTCTCCATTTAACTACACTCACTTAATACTGTGTCTTACATCCTCGTCAATACCACGATCTCTTGCACAACTGATTCTAAATACTTAAAACTATCCACCTCTCCTATCACGTCCTCGCCTATTGTCACTGAACTCCTCATTTCACCTACCTCATGTTCTCCTTTATCAAACTCGTACTCTATATACTCTGTCTCACTCCTACTTATTCTTAAACCCTTTTCTTCAAGGTATTATAAATACGTAATTTTTAAATCGTAAATTTTTACATAATTAAAATTGAAGGGTTTTTTCAATTTTGAAGATGACTTCCTCAACTAGATTAAATTTGAGTTCTTTTAATGTATTTATCAGAAAATTGGTCCAGTGAAAATTCATAAAAGAGACATACATTTTGGTAAATAAAATACTTTCTCAGCGCACATCGAAGTTAAAAAGGTTAATAAATATTTCTATATCACCATAGCATTTAAATAACGTCGATTAATTTCATAACTCGCTTGGATATCCTATTTCACTAAAAAAAATGAAAAATTTTATTACTTTAAAATTTATTTAAAAACCACTCTTAACCATTCGTTATTAACCGAAACCAAAACCTAAACTGTAACTCAAAAAATCATTTTGGTTCATAGTCCTGGAAGGAACATGAGTCAACAGACACGATTATATTTAATAATGTTATCAATGAGTGGTAGAGACTTAAAATTACTTTTCATTATATAAAAAATTTGGTGATAATAATATAACGAATTTTTATTTTACCATCGAAAATACCAACATGAAACTCTTCGTTTTTAAATAAGCAATATTGTATGTTTTCTACGACGGTACATATATTTTTAGATATAATTGAATTTGCTTTAAGTATTAAATTTTCATTGGGTATATCAGTGTTGGTAACATTTGATACGTCTTCTTCATTAATTGCAGGTTCGTGTATTGAAGTAACAACAGATGTAGATATCTGAAAAAGTTGAATAAAAAAATGCAACTTAAGACTAATTAGTGGGACAGCGTGGCTGTTTAACAAGTTCCAATCCCTAGATTATGAATTAAAAACGATAATTGGCAATTTCTTTATATTGTTGTACTATTGAATCTGTACTTCAAAAATTGAATTTATTTTTTATTAAATAATAAATGTTAAACAGATTATTTTAATTAAAAAAAAGTATGTCGGATAAAAGAGATTTGTATAAATTACTTACAAAAAAAAAACATTTATTGATCCATTCATTTTTTAGAAAGTTATGAAAATTGGAAAAATAAAATATGAAACAAAAAATTTCGGGATAAGATTTTTGGAAATTTTTTTTTAAATTATAGTATGCCATAACTATCGCAAACTTGTATCCAAATGTTAAGTATGGATTTTAAGACCAAAGGTTCTCAAAGAATAACCATTAACAAGTACCAACTGCTAGATTATAAATTAAAAATGATACGTGTCAATTTCTTCATAAATGTTTTATTATTAAACTTGTACTTAAAAATTTTAATTTATTTTTATCGGAAAATGTCAAACAGATCATTTTAATTTATTTATAAATGTTATTTTAAGTTATTAGTATTTTTTGACTACAATTTGGAAACAAAATACTTTTTATATGATTTGAGAAGTTAAAAGACTTAGTATAAAGACCGAGTCCACTTTTATAATTTTTTCAGAAGAAGCAGTTAATGAAAAATTGTTTATTAATAATATTGGTAAAAGTATTTGTCTATATTAAATATTTCTAAAAATAACCCTATTATAAAATCCATGTTATTAGGCAAAAAAACATTTATTCGAAACAAGAAAAATAATGTTTTTTAAAAAGATTGGATTACAAGGGATGTTGTACTGAGCCATACAATATTGAAAAAACTTTGGCTATAAATTTAATTATTTAAATTTAAAAAGTAATTGAATTATATTTATACTTACAATTATTACCAAATAACTAAAATTCATTTTTAATTATTGAAAATAAACCAAAAAAAGAAAAATTGTAAGTAATAAATACACAACTTTTTTGTCGTTGATTATATAGAATTTAAAATTGTTTTTATAGGTAATAATTTATAACTTTATGACTTATTGCAAATATCAATCTTTCAACAAATTGTATTGGCCATTAAATACACTTAAATAAATAATTCGTGATATAATAGTGTAAAAAAACTTGACAATTCCTTGCTAATTTTATATGATTAATAATAATATATTGTTAATGTCACATCGAATTTATAAAACTACAACTAAATCAATAATTTCATCTTATTTAAATTAAAAATTCTAAAATAAATTAAGCACATACAAACTTTGACTCTGAAATACGGCCCTTAAATAAAAAATGTTGATTAGTGACGTAAGTAATAATATTAAGGAAAAAACAGAAAATTTCTATATTTTTATAAAACTATAGTGAACATTAAAAAATATATTTTTAACTAATAATAACGCTTATAACTTATGATACAACTATCACTTTATTGACAATTTTTAAAAATAACTATTGCCGCCTTCTTAGACGTTGTTTAATCCATATTTTTTTATTATTTATCACTTATAATTGAATTATTTTTTATTTTTTTCAAAATTTTAAAATAGCTCTTATTTAGTCCCTTTTTAAAAAAAATTGAATGGTTCCATAACAATTTAGCACAAATACTCATTGAGTTACACGCATTTTTATACATAGAATAGATATATAATGAAGGTTGGTGCAACTCGTACTGGTGTACGTATACTCCGCCTTATATATTTATAATAACTTTAGAAAATCAATTTTAATTTTAAGATTTTTGTAAACTAATGTTAAAAAAATCCATTAAATTAAAAACTTATAAATTATTGGTTTCGTAAAATTTAAGGAAACTCAAAAAAGTTGTAGGGATAATGAAATAATAAGGGGCTAAGTTTCTCTAATTTCCCCCTATTTTCACCATTGAGTGGCAGTATCATTGAATTATTTTTATAATATATTATATATATATATATATATATATATATATTATTTTATAAATGTCAAACATTATATTTTAACAAGTTGAAAACAACTTTTATTCCAGTATTTTGGAAGTTCTTTTTATTTTTATATTTAGGCAGAGTACAGTCAGGAATTGACCAGTGATAAAAATATCAGTACTCAACTCCTCACCACGGTCAATACTTTAAATTGTTAATTACTTTTGAAACATTAGTTCAAATGTTGTTATTTAATAGTCATTTTTTAAATTTGATTATTTTCTATTATATAAGATAGTTATATATATAAATGCTTTCATTAATCAAAAATCAAAGTTGATATAACTTTTAAAGTTATATGGATCAAAATCAATAATTTGAAAGACAATTGTATATAATATATGTAGTATGTATAAACATAAGAAACAATTTTTAACATCAATGAGATCCACTACATTTATAAAATGATAGGGAAAAATTCTTGAAGAAATAATATTAATTTGTTATATTCTTTTTCAGTTCTAGATTTTCAAATTGAGTTAATTTAGTTCAATTTTCAATCATATTTTAGCAAAATATAAATAAATTATAAAAGTTATTACATACTGTCACATTTAGTATTTCTTAATTCATAAATCATAGTTATTATCAAGTTTAAACTCTGTATTTAACTATGTTCATAATTGAAGACTTTTGATAAATACTACATTATAAGTATTTATATTTCATATATTAATGTATTGTTCTGTCATAATACAGAATTTAAAGCCAAAAAAATTGCTTTGGTTTAACGTTTTTTTTCAAATGTTACTGACGCTTCATATACATTACACATAATAACACTTATTATTAAATAGGCATCAGCTAACAATTTTCTTCATAGATTTTGATTTTATTATAAACATACATGTAAATTAACTCTTTAATATATTTCGAATTTTATTAAATCGTATATATGAAACTGTATATACTGTATAGCTGGTTATAATTGGTTATAAGAGTTTAAATTTTTAAAAAATCTATTAATAAATTTATTTTAACAATATCATCCTAAAATTTTCTTTAGAAATTAACGTTATATAGGTAAAAATATCAAGTTCAATTTGTAAACACAATAAGATGTTATAATCTATAGAAAGTAAAAATGTCCCAATAAGTTTCATTTTTTGGTAACATTCAAACTGTCTTCTCGGGATGATTATAAAGAGTTGTTAGAATTTTGTTTGTTGTTCATTGGAAAACCGTACAAAAAAAATTATATTCCATTCATCAAGAACAATTCATAGAGCAAGATGGATGGCTAAAATAATATGTCTTAAAATTTATATGTTTCGTACGCAATTTAAATTAACAGTTTCAGATTTAAAGAGTATTTGTTATTTCAATTTATTTGTTTTAAATATGTATATAAGATATTGGTTCGAAAGTTCATATCCAACAAGATCACCAAATAATGACCTTAAACTACTACGAGAACTAAAGCAATTTAATAATATTAAAAAGCATGTAAGTGAGGTAGGGATAAAAGCTTTTTCTGGGCATTTATGGTAATTCCATGACAGTGTCTATTTACAGAGGTAGAGTTACTTAGTTTAGACTTCCCGTGAACAAAATGTAATTAAACGGTAATGATACTAATTTTGTTGATAGAATGTTACCTCAAGTTTTAAGAAAAAAATATGTAGAAGATCATATTTTTACTTTATTAGTAAATTAATTGTAACAATATGATTTATTGAGAATACTAGACCCAAATTTTTAGACCAGAAATTCAATATAATGTATATTATGTTATCACTTATAATATTAACATAGTATATGATAACGAGTAACAGTTAAAGTAATTGTTAAAAAACCAGATTATGATGATTTTATCATTATCACATTTCCGACAAGCCAACCGATAAGTGACTCGGTGGTGCAGTGGCGACGCCACGGAGAGCTTACGGGTTTACAAAATGATGAAAACCAATGTCTGAAGTTATCAAGAAACATTTAAAAATTTATATTTTTAAAAAGATGACATTTAAGGAGGTAAGTAGTGCAAATGACGTTCAAGAGGGAAAAAGAACGGGGTGATTGTAGGCACTAATGCCGTCTAAGAGTTGATTTGAAGTAGCACACAGCCGACTATCTTGCATGCCCACAAACAAATCACATTACCTTATCATAGTACTGTAGATAAACAACGTCTTTGCAACACGTAGTCGGCTCAACCAAAGTAAAATATTAATAAAACATTTGCAAAACATATAAATAAATGAGGGCTCCCTTTTTGTAACCTTACAAAGTATAAATTGATCATGGCAGAGAAAAGAAGAACTGCAAGCAATGCGGAAAGCGGACGATTGGTGCTTGAAATGAAAAAGAACATTGAGAAAATAATGAGTAGACAAAATGCAGGCGAAGTGACAGATGACTATTATGGAAGATTCTCAGTCGATGATATATGGACACGACTGAACAATTCGTAAACGAATGGTAAGGGAAGATCAAATGATAAAAATTATCGTTCTCTAGCCAACAGAATACTTAATTAATCTTGTAAAAGGATTAGTCGAATTTTAGTTTGTAAAAAAAAAAAAACAAAGCATTTTTTAGGAGTGATTAAAGGTTAGTAAAACAACAGAGGTGTTTATTTTATAATATGTATATTTAAACATCTATTAATATATTAATTATAATAATTATAGTAATAACTCTTTTAAGCTTAGTAAAAAAAAAAAACAATTATTTTTTAATGGTTCTAGTTTTTTTTTTAATTGAACTTAAGACGTAAAGAGTTTTTAATGTCTTCCATATCTATAGGTTCCATTTCCTCTGTCCGTTTAAAGTTTTTTAGTGTAGTATTTTGAAAAGTATTTATTAATTGAGCTTTTCGTATTTCGAATAATTCATTTTTAACGTTTTCGTTTATATTATTTAAACAATGCTTATTAACATCATTTATCAGTTTCTTTTCTGAATCTGTCATTGATTTCTAAGACAAAAAAACCTATTGAAATTCTTCAAAATATCATTAAAAATAAAATACAACACCATATTTTTACACCCTAACGCTTAAAAGGTCACTGTTATTATTATATGCAGACAATATTTGTGGCTTATAAAATAAGTCTGCTGTGAAATTTCTTTCCAATAATAAACCTAAATAATGTATTCCATAAAAATTAAGTATAAACTAAAAAAATTACATTTTTTTTTATGAGTTATATTGTTTTGTACTTGGTTTTTCTTATTTATATTAAATTTTCATCAAAATTTATAAAAGTAGTTTCTTTATTTGGATGGAAAATATTAAACTATATTGAATTATACCAAAATTTAATATAATATAAATTTTGTTGTATGGGTCCTATTAAAATTATAGTGTGAAAAATCTCTAGTTAGTAATTTGTAGTAATTAAAACAAAATTTATTATAATAAATGATAATTAATTTATCATACATTAGTTATTCAGTGATATTTACAAGAATAGTTAAATCGTAAGTTAATAAACGCAATTGAAATTAAATGTGAATAAGAATATGATAATGAACGTAGATTTGTAAACTTTATTTACCCAAATATTTTTTGTATTGGTTTCGCTAATGGCAAACAATGTGCTGTAAATATCCACTGTACAGGCCTGAACAGCTATTGTACAGGGATTATTTATATCTATTTTACATAAAACCACATTCAATATTTTACTATCTTCTGACAACTGATATTCATTTTCCAAACATTGGTTAGTGATACTTTCTAGACTGGTGACTACTAGACTCATATTAAATTATAATTAAAATGAGAAGCATATTCGTGTTACATTAGTTTCATAATAATAATATATAATTTTTTTACTATAAAATAGAAAATTGTCTTAGTGAAGTTTTGCCTTGAAGATAGCTAGAATTATATTATTACTTAATTATATATTCTCTCTCCTAAAAAAAATGTTAAGATTCGGTAATAGAGAAAAATAACTACTAACTTGTATGATTTTATGAAAAAAACAAAAACAGTAGAACAGTGGAGTCGTAGCGCAGTGTCGATGTGGCATAGTTGGGAAAAATATAGATGATATCTGATAGTGATAAAATTACTATAATAAGAAATGCTTTCATACAATTCTGTAGATAGTGTTTAATTTATAAAATAAATTGTTTGATTATCCCAAAAGCAAAATAAACTCCTATTTCCTTCATTTATTCTGAATGGTAGTTCTTTGATATATAAGTATACTATATGAATAAATACTTGTAGTAATTACATGTAATTGATATTCAATAATTTTATACAGTAATTTTTACGGAAATATCATAAAAAAATATTAAGTAGTTGTATATTTCGTTACTTCTATTATAAACGTGTAAAAATTTAAAGGCATGATGCAAAACTTTCCAAAAAATAATTTTTTGTTACCTATGAATAAATACACTGATATACAAAGAATTTTCATCAGAGTCAAAAATATACTTTTCTAAACTCATTTTTGACGCTGATTTTAAATTAGATTTTTTCTATCGTCAGTAATTTTTGATACTATTAATAGTTAGTTCTAAACAAGTATTGGCATATAAAAAAAGATAACCAAAAAAATATAGGTTAAATTGAAATTCAACAACACATCGTCAGACAAAATCTTAGATGAAACTAGGCACGAAATATTTCTGAATATCAGTATATTATAGAATACTATAGGATATAGAACATAATTCAAAATATTTCAATTAATGTACATTTTTAAACACCAAGAACTAAGAGTAAATAAAATAATTTAGTATAATAATTTTATTCATTATAATGAATAAAATCATCTACAAATAAAGAAAATTAAAATAACAATAGAAATTACTCACAATTATCCCACAATTTATGGTTCCCTAAAAAAAATGGCCAAGTTATTAGGATATAAAATTAGGTTAATGTTTTCAAAATTAAATGTTTCGTTTTAATTAATTACGAATAGTAAAAGTACGATGAACATTGACAAAAGCCGAAGTATTTCACTAGTACTGGTAACTGACCATTGACTAGCCTGTACTCGTGTAGTACAGGCTGGTGTTTTATATAAGTACTGATCCAATGTTGGTGAACAGTACTTGACTGTCTTTGCCATCACAGTACTGGCGTAATACTGGTTATACAAAACCTTCATTACCAATCTGTCAGTGCAGAAAAACGTTATTATCTCAGACACATGCCAGTATTGATTGATTGACAACTGGTTGCCACTACTACGGCAGAACTACCAGTACTGCGCTATTACTGGGTAGTAGCGGTTGCCAGTGTTAACATATATCTAGTGTGAAAACGCTTTTTCTTGCAGGTAGACAAGTACTGTAAGATTTGTATTTCCCGTATTATGTTAGTATTCTGATAAGTATTAACTGCCAGTATTGAATCAGTAATTAAACAAGATGTCATCCGGATCAACACCAATACGGGAAAGCCAATGCTGTTTCTAGTACTGATGTAGTACTGCGTTCGTTGTCAATACTGATTCTTAACAAAAATGTCTGCTTGGGCTCTATTGTATTTGTTCGCATACGACATAATTAAGTAAATGATTGGTCGACAACAACTATTGGACTAGTATTTCAAAAGTTATTCACATTTTTACACCTAGACGGGAGGAAGGAGTGAAGTAAAAAAGTATCTAGTGATAAAAATCAAAGACTGGAACCATGTTTTTTAATAGGTTCCGGTTGTGGTTCTTTAAAAAAATATATTTAAAGGTACCGGATTGGTTAGATTTCCTTTAAAAATAAAAATATAGGTTAGGTACGGGTTCTTTAAAAAAATAGTTCCGATTCCCAAAAATAAAGGTTCCATCCAAATTATTAAAATGTAATTAAAATCATTAAAACTAAAGTGCAATTAAAAAAAAACTTCAGAAAATAGAAAATGTGAGATTTAAATGTCTTTCCAGTACGTTATATAATGCATTATAAAAGCATTATATAATTACATATAGGGCAGATGGTGATAGGTGATCTTTCGCTTTAACATAAGAATTTCTTTAAAACAGCATAGTTAACGAGTAATAATATTGTATAATATATTTTTATTTTAACCTAATTTGATACAAACGACTTTTTATATTATGAATAAAAAGTATTTATTCTATTTTGTACTTTAATAAACCAACATACATATTATACATACTAAATTTTTTTAGTCATCTCCCTCCCTTTTACAACCACTTTATGGTTAAAGAGACATCCATTCGCATTCATTTTTAATTCATGTGTAAATGTAAAGATATAATGTATACATTTGTCGATCACAAAGTCTCGGACACATCAAACCAAAATATTTAAAAGTCAAATTGTAAAACAAGTAAAATCTAATTATCATAAAAATTTAATTTGACTAACCGTAATAAAAAATAATCAGGTATAAACATAAATTTCAGAATTAATTTTGAACAGATTATCCATAAAATTTATTTTATAGAATTATAAAAATAAATTTTGTACATTTTTATTTTAAATAAGTTTAAAAATTCTTTCTTTTATTATATTATTATTTACTTTCATACTCATATTATGAAATATATCTACGAACAAACTTTTTTGATGCACTTTAGAGCAGTCTTTACATGTTGATGTCTTATTTATGTCAGAGTAGATAAAAGAATTATTAAATACAGATTTACTTCTACTCATGATATCTTATGATATCTTATAAATATATTATTAATTTTAATCAAAATCATTAACATAACAAAATAGCACGCGTTTATTAATGGGTATACATTAGGGTGGATAAAAAAAAGTCGATCTTCGAAATTTTAATGAGAATCATTTTAACTTAATTATATACATTAAATAGACAATTTTTGTACGGTTTTCCAATGAATAACAAACAAAATTCTAACAATTCTCTATAATCATTCAAAGAAGCAGTTTTATTGATACCAAAAAAATTAAACTTACTTTTTTATTGTATTATGTTTAATAAAAAATGAATTGTTTAATAAAAAAAATATATTTGAAAAATATGTAAAGACAAAATCATATTCATATTTTCAAGAATATCGTATATTTTAGCTTATGCATTAATTCTAAAAAAAGTATAAGTTTTTAAGATTAGTGAAGAATTTTTTGTCTACTTATAATAAACATAAATATCAGCCAAACTGCATAAAAAAAATTAATACAAATTTTAAGCTTACATGAGACCTACTAGAAATATACTATATAATGACGGTAATTATGATTAATCCACACTATCAATTTTCGACTTAAAATTTTGAAACTAAAAAATTTTTATTTTACAGTAAAAATTAAACTATTTTGATATAGTGTTCATAATATTTAACCAAAAATTGAATAACAGATGCCTTTTTTTGTTTTTGGGGTATTTTTGGTCAAAATACTAAAAACACGTTAAGCTACCGGTAAACATTTTTTTTAAAAATCTCAAATTTTCAAAATATGTCTATTTTAATGTATATAATTAAATTAAAATGATTCTCATTAAAATTTCGAAGATCAACTTTTTTTGATAGTATACATGTACTATTTGAAATAGAATCCATTAGCGTGCAAAGACGTAAAATAATAATAAAATTATCATCATCACCAAATCTTAAAAAAGTTAAATGTATTTTTTAAGTCGTAGAGCTGGATAGACTGTTAAATGTTTTATCGGTTGTCGCCTTAGAGTAAAACGCGAGCCAAAGTCCGTTAAAAAAAAACACAAGAAACGCAAGCATATAATATTACAATAACTTCTATTTATGACTGTGCAGTTATAAATAATATAATAATATAATAAATAATAATATAGNTCCGTTAAAAAAAAACACAAGAAACGCAAGCATATAATATTACAATAACTTCTATTTATGACTGTGCAGTTATAAATAATATAGAGCCCTATNTATTTATGACTGTGCAGTTATAAATAATATAATAATATAATAAATAATAATATAGAGTAAACAGACATACGGTTATTATGTTTTAAATATGATTATTTCATTTTAAAAATAGAAATATAATATTTTGTGTACGACAAACATTTCTTGAAACACTTTATTAGTTCATAAATTTTACTTTGACAAACTATAATAAAGCATTTACTAATTCTTACCAAAATAATTCTCATTTGTTATCAAAAATATAAAACGTTGTTAAAAATTAACAAATAAAATACTGCTTAACGGCTAAGAACCGTTTAAACGAACCATTATTATTACAGGGTTTGTTTGGTTCGGTTCTGATTCATGACTATCTGAAAATAAAAATTCCTATTTCGGTTCGAGTTCTTCAAAAATGTATAGGTTCCGGTTAAAAAACTGTTTATTTAGGTTCGTTTGAGTCCCTGATAAAAATAGAAGCACCCGGCTTCACCTTTAATCATAACTTCTGAAACACTGGTCTAAAGTTGTTATCTTCTTAAATAACGAAATAATCTAGTTGACTATTTATGTTGTCATTTGAAAAAATAAAGTTTTTAATAAAGGTATAATGGATGAATATAAAAAATACTTAATGATTGACAAATTAAGAATAACATGAAACCAAAAAAAGAAAATTATTAATTTTATTTTTATTTTTCCACCGAGTGGTTTGTAATAGAACAATAACTCTGCATGTTAGTAGCATGAAATAAAATATTACTGCCCTATGAAATGTAAAAAGTTACACAAAATATAAATAATGTCGAGAAACAGTGGAATTTTGGTAGTCTATAATTTTACTTTAATAAAATAGTTATAAATTATAAAACACTCTAATATAATTCAAGAAAGTATCTAAAATTAATAGAAATAATTTTAATATTACCATCTATAGAATCATAAGGAATAGAAGAATGTTTGTTATAACATGATATTGTTCCTGCTATTGCATTTATTTTATTCGCTGACACTAAGTCCAACGCGTTTTTGTTTGGGTTGGGTTGTATGTTGCGTCGTGTACCTGCTAATGCACACGCCGAAACCTTGAAAAATAATTGACCTATTTATATACAAAAATAAGATTCTAAAAAATCTTAATGCTAATTTAATTATATATAAACTTTACTATAAAATAAAAATAATAATATATGATTCAATATTGAAAACAATTCAATTTACAATTAATTTACAATTAATTTACATTTGAATTAATAATTTAATGATCAAGTATAATTTTTTCATATAAGAGGTTTTGTAATAAAAAAAAGGTTAATTAAGTTATTTTTTTCAAAGCTTCAAATTTACGCTAAAAGTAATTTTACATATTATTAATGACTAAATTAAAAAAAGTGATTCTACTGATACTTACGAAAATTGAATATATTAATGAAAAAATGTTATTCATGATGTTTCTTACTTGAAATTTATTTTATTAAATAATTTATTTTAAATTAAAAAAAATAAATGAATAAATTATATTAATAATAATCCATCTACTAAATAATATCACTTCAAAAAGAGTGTTGGTGGTGGGCAGCTTTTCAAATTATCAATTCTCTTCACAAATTCATCGTCATCTTTTATACTTATTGTACTTATATTGTATAGATTCTATAACTCAAATTAAAAAAAAAACAAATTATTTTAAATTTTATTTTTTAAACAAAATTTTTACAAATATTTCAAAGTTGAATTATTTACAACTAAGCAAATATTATTTAATTGTTACAAGAATTAAGTGCGTCATATATGTAAATCAAATTTATATTCATATGGTTAATCACATCTTTTATTCACAATTATATTTAAAAAAGTTTGTTGAAAAGATTAAATGGTATAACTATTAAAAATTTAATATATTTGTAAGTAAATAATACAATATAATAGTTATAAGGGTATTTGTTGTACTTTACATTAAAATATCAATGCAATAATATTTTTTACAAAATTATAATTTTATTTCGAGTTAAAAAAATATGCGCGACGAATTTAATGTTAATAAATCAATATACATTTTGTAATCTAAAATTATGATTATGTTCATAAATTATTTTTAAGTTAAAAACATTAATAAAAATGTGAACAATTCTGAATAACTAAAGAAATGCTGAGCTTAAAAATATTGTAATCTCAACTAATTGGGATCGGTGAACCTTATCCTAAACATCCATTTGACACGATCTGTCACATCATCTACGTATATATCAGCCAGCCTCATATAGCATTCAAAAATATCCTTCCATCTCCTTTTTGGTTTACTTCTATCTCTTTTTTTCTCAATATTCAATTCTATAGCTGTTCTTGCAGCCAACCAAACCATCTTAGTCATTTAAATCTATATCTTTAATATTATCCACGAATTACGCTACATCTATAAACCCTCTTAAATATTCGCTCCTTATCTTATCTTTTCTAGTCACTCCACTCATTCATCTTAGCATTCTCATCTCTGGTTAATTTTATTGTCAACAGCTCAACACTCTATACTATACATCATAGCTTCTCTCACTACCATCTTAAAGAACTTACCTTTCAGACTTATTGAAATTTTCTAAACGCATAACATACATAAGAAAACTTTATTGCTATAATAATTAAAAAACAACCTATTTATTTATATAATAATAAGTATATAATATATTATTACAGCTCAAATACGAGTAGTGTTACAATTGGTATATAAGATTTTTAGTAGGGATCATGAATTTAGAAACTTTAATATTAAACGATTCCAATATGAAACATTACTTTATATCTTTGATCATTCAACAAATATAACAGAACATTTGTAAATAAGAACATTTTACCGATTTTGTCGAAATTGTGTGTATTGTAATTTTACAGGATAATTATAGATTTACGATAAAAAATCACTATCATAATAAATGCTTCGATGCAAATCTGTAGATACTGTTTAATTTTAAGAAATTAGTGGATTATTCAAAAGCAAAATTCTAAGGTTACAATATAAAAAAAATTATTTTAAATTGTTAATTTTTCAAAAGTTATGGCAGTTTTAAGTATTAAAATATTTCATGTTAAAAAGTTATTTTTACATAAAAATTACATTTTTGTTAAATTCGACGGCCATTTTCCCATAGAAGAAAAAATGACTGAACAAATTTTTCTTTAACTTATAGTACATAAAATTAGCTTTATTTTAGCATTTTTTTGAAGCTCGGAGTATTCCCGAACATTTTCAAAACTTAAGTTAAAGAAGTTGAATTTTTGTTGAAGTTACTATTTTGAATCCCCCCATGTGGGCAGGTATATTGCCAGATTTTCAAAAAATTTATATCAAATAAAAGGATAATATCTAAGGTTTCAATTTAAAAAATAATTATTTTGATTTGTTCATTTTTCATTAAGTGATGGCAATTTTTAGAGAAAAAAGAATGAAAAAAATTTCAAATTTACCGATTATGAAAATCGTAATTGTTTGGGGGATTTACACTATTTACGAGAAACGGGGAAAATTTTTTCAATTTTTGAGGGTAATGTCTTCAACAAGATATGATTTGTGATCTTCTGACGTATAGTCGAGAAAAATCGGTTCAGTGAGAGCTGAGAAAAAGTAGTGACAGACAAAAAAAAATAAATAAATAAATAAAATATCATGGTAAAGTTAATAACATCTCAGCTTCTCATCAAAGCTAAAAATTATAACAGTATTAATAAAAAAAAGTTAAAAAAATATCGGAATTTACCAATTGTATAAAACGGATTTTTTTGGAAATTTCCAACATTTACGGGAAAGGAGGAGAAAGTTATTAAAATTTTAATTAATTTTGAATCCCCCCTGTGGGCAGTTAAAGGGTCAGATTTATATAAAAAAAATATATCAAATGATAGGTAAAGACATTATGCATCTATAAAAAAAATTTTATTGATATAATCATTATTGAAAAAGTTATGGCTATTTTTAAGTAAGAAAAAATGTTGCAATTATTAAATTTGTAATCTATTTTGGACATTTCCCTCATTTACGGGGAACGAGGGAAATTTTTTCTATATTTGAGGGTAATTTCTTTGATTAGATACGATTTGTGATCTTTTGACGTATCGATGAAAGAAATCAGTTTAGTAGTGACAGACACACAAAAAAAAAAATTAAATAAACACATCATGGTAAATTTAATATCTTCTCAGCTTCGCATAGAATCTAAAATAATGATGTAAAATATTCTTTGTAAAACAAAGACGCTATCACACGATATAATATAATCAACAGTGTTTGTGACTACTGGTCCACCTAGGTCTATGTTAAAGGCGTTCTTTATCAAACAGTTATTGTGAAAACAAGTGTAAATTAATTCTTGTTTTTCGACTAACAACGGACATTATAAATTTATAACTTTTTTTAATTAAATTTAAGTACCAATTGCAATGTGTTACTTTACTTATATTGTTCAAATTAATTTTTTCTAAAACATATTTTAAACTTCATATCCATTTTATTATTAATAGAAATTCAATGTATAAAACATTTGCTACACCCAAAAATATTATTTTATATATTGTTATTGGTTTTATAATTTTTATAATTAATTTTAAAATTCCATACAATTTTATAGAATGTTTAATGCATGTATGGAATTTTATTTTTATGTGAACGATTCTATTTATAATAATTCTTAACTTTTAGAGCGAATAATTACAATGGTATTAAATTTAACTTAATTCAATTAATTTATCAACTTTTAAAAATAGTTGATTTTAATTGGTTTTCTTTAATGAGCTTTTATAGAGGTTTTATGAACTCAAATTTGAAATACTCTGTGAGTTTGAATAATTTTGTTCTATTTTATATAAAAAAATTATTTTTGCTTTCATATGTTAAGTTTTATAATTTCACTAAAAAATTCATTAATCCTTTCAGATCTTTAGTACACTATTGTGAGTTATATTTTTTTTTAAATTTAAAATTGTAAATTTATAGTAAAACAGTGTTTCCAACACCAAAATTTAATAAATAATGTAAGCAACGAACAGTAAAATTTTTTTTTAAAGTTTTTAAAAAAATTTAAATTGAAAAATAGTTTCTTCAGAAAATAATTTTAGTCTATAACTGATGACCTAATGCCACCAACAGAACCAATTAAAAAAATATTGATAATAAATCATTTTAACTAAAAATGAAAAGTCGGGTCTGAAAAATAATATTACACGTTTATTTAACATGTAATATTTATTTCAGTTTTCCGTGGTGTCGTATTTTCTTAACATAAATTTTTATACAGCTGTGACTATTTGAATTTTGTTTACCCATCATTTTTTTCCTATTTTATAATTCAATTTCAAGTGTAACAGACAATTTTAATATGTATACATTATTAAATTTACTCAAAAATTTTTAATGGGATGTATGTTCATTACCTACAGTAAAATGATTTTTTGAAATAGACCGTGTAACATACACAAATAGTCAAACTAACACTCCTAGACATAAACCAACGTATAATTTCAGAAATGTACTTATATATTTTTTAATAAACAAGAGCTACAATATCTTAAATTAAAATTTTTTTCAATCCTTAATGTTTATACAAGTGGCAAAATTAATAATTGCACTGATGCAATATTTTTTTATATCGTGATTATTTGCAGATATAATTCATACAAACTTCTAAAAATAAAATAAAATCAGTTTAGTAAAATAAAATATTATAATATTAATATAATGTATTCACATAAAGTTTTCAATGATTTATTACGATGTTATTTAAATTTGCTCGAAATACAACAATACGTATCTGGGAGTTTAGACATTTGTTCATAATTTACAAATATATTTGGCGACTTTTACTTTCTAAATTTTTAATAAATCTAACTTTCGAATCTATAAACAGTGTTATAGGCTCGTGTCAATTCACTGACAATTTTCTGGGATTTTTAAATTATGTTTTCACAAATAAATCATGTTGGTTTAATAACACTTAGCTTATTTTCTTTTATGTTATCATTTTGTAGTTTGATATCAGTTATTAGATTAGGGCATGGAAAAAATGTGACTTAGGACGCAAATAAAAGTGGAGAACGGGTCTTTTTCAGGCAATTAATAAAATATAAAAGTGCCAGCTGTGATGAGTTTTATTAGACTCATTTAACCTATCTTTTTTCTTCTACATAAGAAGGAAATAAACATTAAAAATACACTTATTTTTCTTTATAATTTGTAGTAAATATTATGAAGATGTATATTTTCTTTGGCATTTGGCCAATTTTATTAGAGCCGTTGTTTTTTTAGAACACTTATTGTACCAATCTATGTTTTGAATGCGACAAATATATTTAAAAATTAATTAAATTGGGTGATAATCCTGTCGTTGTTGAACTTTTATTACCTAGAAATTTTTTAATAAACTCATTATTTTTTCATTCTTATATATCTTATATAAGTTAATACTGAAAAACCTTTATGGTTCCTTTATATATCATTATTAGATTCGATGCGAAGCTAAATCACTGAACCGATTTTTCTCAACGATACAAAAAAGATCAAAAACTTTATCTAGTCGAAGACACCTTCAAAAATTAAAATATTTTTCCTCATTCCCCGTAAATGGGGGAAATCTTCAAAAAAAATTATCAATGTATAAATCGGCAATTTTTGACATTTTCTTTTGTATAAACTTTACATAACTTTTTTAAAAATGACTAAATCAACACAATTTTTTTTTATAGATACATGCTCATGTAATGCCTTAAGGTATTAACCTATTGGTACATTTTTATAAATCTGACTCTTTACCTGCCCACACTGTATGTCAGGGGTACGAGGTTCTAACCCTACCCATCGAATAGACTTTTATTCTTAATACTATTAAAGAGAAGTTAATTTTGCTTTTGGAATAATCGACTAATTTCTTTAAATTAAACACTGTCTTTAGATTTGCATCGATTTTAATCACTGTTAAATATCCTCTGTACTTGTCAAAACTATGGTACGTTTACACTATGCTGTGACCCCACTGTGCTACTGTTATTTGTTTAATTGTATTCATGTATGGATAAAAAAAAACATATATTAAGTTTATTTTCTGCTTCCTTTTCAATTATATTGATATAAAATTAAAAAAACGGTAGCACAGTGGGGTCGAGGCATAGTGTAGACAAGGCATAGATGGGACAAGTATAGATGATATCTGACAGTGATTAAAATCACTATCATAAGAAACGCTTCGATGCAAATCTGTAGATAGTGTTTCATTTAGAGAAATTGGTGGATTATTCCAAAAGCAACATCAACTCTTATTTCTTTGATTATATCCTAATTAGTAGTTCTTTAATTTTAAAATATAATATATGAATAAATACTAATTATAATTATTAAATTTAATAAATTGATATTCAATAATTTAATAATGTAATTTATACGGAGAAATTATAAAAATAATAAAGAAGTTATATTTTGCTTTATTTTTATGTGTATAAAAATTTAAAGGGCTTGATACAATAAATTTCAATAAAAACTGTTTGTTACTATAAATAAATGCACTGAACTACAAGGAACTTTCATCAGTAACAAAAATATACCATTCTAAATCAACTTTTCGCGATGTTTTCAAATCTGCAATTAGACTTTTTCTATCACTTCTAAGTTTTAATATTATTAAACATTAGTATTTACATATAAAAAATTCGCATAGAAGCTAAAAAATTGGCCATTTAAGCTAACTTAAATTTAAAAATTACTTTTTTGACTTTAAAAAAGTAAAAAAATTTTAATAAGTTTAATTTCTTATGTCTTATGNCTATTTAAGCTAACTCAAATTTAAAAATTACTTTTTCGACTTTAAAAAAGTAAAAAAATTTTAATAAGTTTAATTTCTTATGTCTTATGAACTTTATTCTATGTCAATTAAATTATATAATATTCATGAAAGTCAATATATTCTCCTAATAAGATATTTTAAAATAAAATAAAATACAAAACCTAGAATTTTAATAGAAAAATAGCATATTTTTGAATACGGTAGCCATTGTGCAAATAGATAAAAGATAAAATATAGAAGATAGATTGTCGGGACAAATTTATTTTTCATTTTATAGTACATAAAATAAGCTTTAATTTGATATATGTTTAAATACATTTGAAAAATTTATTAAATTTAAAAAAAATAAATTTAATATATGCAGTATTTCCGGAACATTTTCAAAAATTAAGTTGAAAAAGTTAGTTTTTGTAAAAAAGTTACTATTTTAAATACCCCTAGTGAGCAGAATAAGTATTAGATTTTCAAAAAAATGATATCATATAAAAGGGAAATATCTAAGGTTTTAGTATAAAAAAAAATTATGTTGATTTGTTTATTTTTGAAAAAGTTATGGAAGTTTTAAGAAAAAAAAGTGAAAAAAATGACAAAATTTACCGATTTTTAAATTTGTAATTTTTTTGGATATTTCCCTCATTGGCGGGGAACGAGGGGAAATTTTTAAGGATAATGTCTTCATCTAGATACGANATTTCCCCCATTTGCGGGGAACGAGGGAATTTTTTTCAATTTTTAAGGGTAATGTCTTCAACTAGATACGATTTGTGATCTTTTGACTTATGGTTGAAAGAAATCGGTCAGGTGAGAGCTGAGAAAAAGTGTCAACAAACATAAAAAAAAAAAAAAACACATCATGGTAAAATTAATACCTTCTCAGCTTCGTATCGAATCTAAAATATATGATTTTTGTTTAATTGTTGAAATATTTGTGTATTGTTCATATTATTGTCATAATGTATATAATTATTAATATTATAATTTTCATATTTATTGTTAATTTCATAGATATTTGAATTTTATTTCGAAAATAAAGATGGTTTTTATTATTGTTGCCACTTTTTCTCAGCTCTCACCGGACCGATTTCTTTCAAAAGTACGTCAAAAGATCACAAATCGTATCTAGTTGAAGACATTACCTTTAAAAATTGATAATATTTCCCTTATTTCCCGTAAATGGAGGAAATATCCAAAAAAATTATAAATTTAAAAATCGCTAATTTTTGAAATTTTTGAAATTTTTTTTACCTAAAACTTCTATAACTTTTTGAAAAATCAACAAATCAATATAATTTTTTTTATACTAAAACCTTAGATATTTATCTTTCATTTGATATCATTTTTTTGAAAATCTATCACTTAACCTTCTCATTGGGGGGGATTTAAAATGGCAACTTTTTTACAAAAATTAATTTTTTCAACTTAATTTTTGAAAATGTTTCGGAAATACTGCGTCCTTCAAACATATATCAAATTAAAGCTTATTTTATGTACTATAAAATAAAAAAAAAAATTTGTCCCAACACTTTTTCTTCTACATTTAAACGGTTGCCGTAGTTAAAAAAACACTATTTTTGTGTTAAAATTTTCGATTTTCGATTTTAAATTTTCAACTTAAAAATGCTATAACTTTTTGAAAAATGTATATATCAGCACAAATTTTTTTTTTCTAAATACATTATAAGTACATCTTTCATTTGACATACTTTTTATTAAAATTGGACAATTTCCCCTTATATAGGGGGCGTTCAAAACTTAAAATATTGTAAAAAACATAAATCTTTTTCAACTGAACTTTTGAAAATGTTCCGGAAATACTGCGTCCTTTAAACATATATCAAATTAAAGCTTATTTTATGTACTATAAAATGAAAAAAAAAAATTTGTCCCGACACTTTTTCTTCTACATTTAAACGGCTGCCGTAGTTAAAAAAACACTATTTTTGTGTTAAAATTTTCGATTTTCGATTTTAAATTTTCAACTTAAAAATGCTATAACTTTTTGAAAAATGTATATATCAGGACAATTATTTTTTTTCTAAATACATTATAAGTACATCTTTCATTCGACATACTTTTTTTTTTAATCAGACTATTTCCTTATATACGGGGGGTTTTCAAATCTGAAAAATGCATATAGAAAGTAGAATTCTTTCAACTTAACTTTTGAAAATGTTCCAGAAATATTGCATCCTTTAAACATATATCAAATCAAAAGTTATGTTATATACTATCAAATGAAAAAAAAAATTTGTCCCGACATCTTATCTTCTATGTGCAAATGGCTGTCGAAAATTAAAAAAAAATGTAATGTTTGCGATAAAAATTACCTTTTATCGGGATGTTTTTTGTACTTAAAACTTCCATAACTTTTTCAAAAATGAACAAATAAAAATAATATTTTTTTGTATTGAAACCTTAGATATTTTCCTTTCATTTGTTATAATTTTTTTTGAAAATCTAACACTTATTCTGCTCACTGAGAGGATTTAAAATAGTAACTTTTTTACAAAAAATAACTTTTTCAACTTAATTTTTGAAAATGTTCCGGAAATACTGCGTCCTTCAAACATATATCAAATTAAAGCGTATTTTATGTACTATAAAATGAAAAAAAAAATTTGTCCCGACGACCTATCTTCTATGCGCAAATGGCTACCATATTCAAAAATATGCTATTTTAACAAATTTTTTTTTTTTAATTAAACACTATCTACAGATTTGCATCGAAGCGTTTTTTATGATAGTGATTTTAATCACTGTCAGATATCATCTATGCTGGACCCAACTATGCAACGACCCCACTGTACCGCCACCCCACTGTGCTATCGTTTATTTTTTTTTAATTGTGTGTTGTTATTGACAAAAAAATCGTATATATCAAATATATTACACTATGTGTGCAAGAGGCACTTTTTTTTATATAGGCGTTTCTTAATGAATGTTTTCAAAGTTCTGAATTTTCATATAAGTTACATTGTGTATTACTTTGTTTTTAACATTTATAATAAGCAAAATTTTATACAAGTGGCCTGCGTATATAGATACAAGGTAATAAACTATAATGAATTATTCCAAAATTTAAAAAAATTAAATTTCGTAATGTGTTTTTTTTGCATTCATAGTGCAATATATGTATTTAAATTTTTTTCATATTAAATTATTAAATAGGAGGCAAGTTGGCATTATGATAGCGTAAGTTAGTGTACTCCACTGTTTTGGGATCGATTCTCATAAACTCTAAAAACTTGTTCCAATTTCTCTTTGTTTTCTTAAAATGATTTATAATATACATCATTATACTTAGCGATAATTTCTGATTAATCATTCAATGATTTCTAGAAAAAAAAAATTAATTTAGACAATATCAAATTGTATTCAAATATAACTAAATTTATAAAATTACATATTAACATTGAAGTTTTTGGACCCTCTAATTTTTATTTCATAAAATAGTTTCGATTCATAATAAATAGTTAGAAAAAGACTGTCCGACCTTTAAACGTTTAACATACGCGAATTTTTATCGTATTTTGAGTAAGTGTATCCTGGAATTTTTCACGAGGTCGTATATATCAGATATTTTTTTACTACTTTCATCAAATATTACTTTAGCTGTGTAATTATTTTCGATGTGCAAGAAATCAATTATCCATGTTTTATTCCATGTAAAACACCCTTAATTATGCCGTACAAAATTTATTACAAAAAATTTGAACTTGGAGTTTCACTTGGATTATTGTTACTTTGATGATTAAGTATGTCTTTAGCAAAATGTTTAAAACATAATTTGGAGATTTTTATACAGTATTTTATATAATTTATTATTTTCGTTGTTATGATTGTTATCATTATTATTTTGATTATTAAGGTAGAATGTTATATTATCATTACAACAGAAAAATTGAACTACTTTTTCAATATTATCCATGACTTCATAATTTGTTTCCAGTAAATTATAACAAATATCTATCATATCTGCTTTCATTTGTTTTAGTGTTTATATAAAAAAATAAAATATTATCCTGTTACAATTTAATATCTATTTAAATGGTTATTGTTATAATTCTTATACAGAGTATTCAGAATGTAATGAAACAGGTAGATTATTAAAAGCAACGAGAACATTATAATACTATAAAAAATTGCACCAAGAGGTATGCTTATTATTATGCTTTACAAATTATTTAGTAAAGAATGGTAGACTTAACTACTTTATTTTAAGTTTTACTTTTAAAATAAGTAAGGTGAGCTCTTAAATTATATTTAGCTAACTTAAATATTGTTCTGTTCTTTATATTTAAAATAACTTACGATTCATATCTAGGAATGATCTCACGGTTTTGTCTAAAATGAAATAAAAATACTTATAAAACAAATGTAACTTTTAACTTTAATAGTATAATATTTTTTCTAACTACAAGTATGGTAATGTTTTATAAAGCACATAATTTTAGGTATGATAAATTATTTTTATTGATACAAAAATAAATAAAGTTGATCAATAGAATTTTAAAAAAGTTTGTTATAGTCTGGTATTAATTAAGGCATTCTAACTAAATTTCTAAAAATTCTAAAATTCATTAATTTTGAGCTAGATATATAAATATTGTAAATAATGTCTAAAGTCGATATTTAAATGGATAAAATTTTATTTAAAAATTACCCATCTTGAATAATAGTATTAAATAGATCTTTTAAGTCAGGCGCACAAAACAATTACTTCTTCGAAAATTTTCTATTTCAATATGTATAGATTTCCTGGTATTTTATTGAAAACCCCTCATATATAGTTTGTAAACTCAATATCTGTTTTATGACAGTTATATGTTATGTGATTACACAACAACGTACCTACAAGTCTGAGTGCATTGGTAGTTCTTGCTAATTCTCTAACAAGTAAATGTACTTCATTATCTTAGTAAATTCTTTTCTAATTATATCTATGATAATGTTTTATACAGCATGTATGTCCGGTGGTATTCACGCGGGTTCGTTAACGTTCGTGGTTTTCTTTTGTCTTGAGTCTTTGGCTATGTCGAGAATAAGGAATAAGGTGAGTGGACTGTATGAATGAATTTAGAATGAATTTTACGATACATAATTATAACAATTAAATGTATTATACAAGAATCATAAAATTTTATATACACCAATGTGGATAAGGGGGATATATAATACTAATTCCACAATAGCGCTGATATAAACAAATAATAAATTATAAATGTGTGTAAGTCTTACTAAGATGAACAAGCATTATATTTATCGGCAAATTGAATCAACTAATGACAATGTTGAAGATTGAAAGGATCAATTGTAGTCGAATGCAAGTAGCTGACCAACGTGTACAATATGCTGTGAATAGTACTGTGATGTATCTTAGAAAATATATAGACCCAACGGCGATATACTGAACGCACAGAGTGCGACAATCACAAAGGTGATATATTACTTTTACAGCAAAAACGAATACAAAACTTCTGGCTCGCAAGCGCCATAGAGCTAATAGCTGAAAAGCGCTAAGATGGCGGCCAGTGGCGCAACTACGGGGGTTCTAGGAGGTGCTGAAGCACCTCCAACTTTACTTTAAGCACCCCCAAGTTACACGTCTTTGTAATTTCAAATATTTATTTATATTCTCAATACGGCACATGACCAAATTTCAGTATAATAAACTTAACTTACATGTACAATAATTATATAAAATACAAAAATACAACAATTAATAATATAATAAATCTGATGGGTCCTTATTAGCAATACTCATCATTCTATAAAATGGCTTGTTTTTTAGGTAGTTGGTATTACATTTAGGTACAGAAAAAAGAATTAGATTAGCAACTTCTATACTATTAGTACTAGTAAACCCATTCAAATTAATTGTTTTAGGAATTGACTGTTGAAATTTACTCTTTCTAACAAAGTTCCAAAAATTTTTTGGATTAATACAAAAGTCAGATTCACTCACAGAAAAATTTTCTGTAACAATTTTTCGATAAAAATTTGTATTTTGCACGTAGAAGAGAAAATTTTCTGTAATCGAGTGGATTACGTGTTGCCTTAAAAATGGCGTGGGCTTTTCTTTTTTGGAACACTGTATCAATCAAATCCTTAGAAAATCATCAAGGAAAATTAGATTTATTATAGTTAACACGTGGAACCCAGTAAAGAATAGAGAAGTGTAATGCATCATACAAAGTTGATGTTGCGTAATTAACGTCTAGTTGAGTAAAAGTATTCAACCAATTATAAGATAGGAAAAATCTGAAATACGTGTATAATCTGCTTTCGTAATATAAAAATATGATTCAACGGCATGAAAGAACGGATTTTTTTATTTGTTGGGTAATCAATAGCTAATGCAGGATAATATCGATCTTCAGGAACAATTGGATTGTACACCATATTAACTTTAAAAAGATTCTTATTTGTAAAAATAAGATCTAACATTGAATTGTAAACGTTAAAAACATTATTAACTTGATTAAAGCTTTAAGAAAACAAAAGTCTCAGGAATAGGCTATTTTCGGTAGCTATTGAATAGAAAATACCTAAATTATCGTTAGACCAATTAATATTAGGTAAGTTAAAGTCACCATATAGAATCAAACTATGGGTGCTATAACAACAAATTAGATTTTTAATTGTGCTAGAATAAGTATCATAGGATTGAATAGGAGAGTTAAGAGGAAAATATACACCACCAACTATAAAATTGTCATTATTATAATTAAAACTAACATAAATTTGTTCAATACTTAAATTAGAGATAGAAACAATTTGTGAATGAAAATCTTTATGCACAGCAATAAGGACACCACCACCTCGAGTACAATTACTCATTAAAATACTTCTATCACATCGGTAAACATTATAATTATCCAAACATAATTCAGAATCAAATAAATCAGAATTAAGCCAAGTTTCTGTTAAAACAAGAAATACATAATTAAAGCTGGCAAGATTACACTTAAGAGTAAAAAATTTAGTCCTAAGATCACGACAGTTTTGGTAAAAACCAAACGGAACATTATCATTCGACGTAGTATAGCTAATTGTAGGTAAATCACGAGGACAAGACTTATTAATTTTTAAATTGTAGAAATCTAATATAAAAGTACTAAGAGTGGACTTGGCATTTATTATACAAATATACATGCTCATGCAAACCTAGTGTACATGGCTGAACTATGAAAGTTGAGAAATTTGGTGAATCTCTTGTTGTCGATTGATATGTTTTCACGGACCCGGTATTTTGGAATTAATTTGACCACAGATAGAACACCATTTTTATAATATATACGTAGATTTATTTCACCTTGAGCTGTACGAGACAACAGATCATTGTGACAAGCACGTAATAGTTGTCGTTCAAATTTGGTTTTATCCTTGACAATATTAAAACCATTTTGGAATTAAGTACCTGACCGCTTAACCTGGTTGTATGGTACAGCAAAAATTGTGTTTCCTCTTTGTTAGTATATATTAGCTTAAGTGAGCGGGTAATATCTGGACGTGGTTTCCCAATCCGGTTCAAATTAAGATTCGTTGGAAGGTAATTTCTAACCGGCAACAAAATATTTTTAATCATGAATTCATCATGTAGAACTCTCTCAGAATCAGTTAAATAGGTAGACTCTAATACACCATAAGCAATCACATTGTAAGAACAACGATCTCATTCAAATAGTTCTTGCAAAACCTGGCTAGTGATTGTGGATGGGTTAGCAGACGAATTGTTCTCTTCAAGACTACTAATTTTTGCCTTAAGTGAACCAATATCTCTTTTGAGTATTATATTTTCTGCTTTGAGTTCACTCACTTGCTCAGAAACTTTTAATATTTCTGCTTTAAGTGTATTGAACTGCAAAGATTGCGAGTCAGAAAGTGCTTTATTGGAGGCGAGGACTTTGAAGAACAAAATTTGCATTTAATCTTCATTAGAAATAGTACTTGAAGATTTCGTACTAACACCAGAACGGACAGAAACTTTTTTTAAAGTTGCATTGGTTGCACCAGGAGAAGACATATTAGAAAAAGTACTCGGGGTTAAATTCTTCAAAGTAAGCCACTACAGGTTAGTCTCTAACAAGTGGAACAAGAAACTAGCTAATGTTTTAAAGCGTATGTTGATAGTAGCAATATTATCAAAAAACAAATTATAAAAAAGATAGTACGACTTAATATACGAAAAGACGTAATTATTAAACTACTTATACTTGCATATAACAAATCAACGAAGATTACCACGACGCACAATTGAACACAAAAATATACTTAATACTTTAAACAACAATTGTAAATAAATTATTTGTATATACCAATTGAAATTGTTATAAAGACTGTAAGTAAAAAAATTTATATTATATTTTATAATTATATATTACATAACTAATATTAATTAGTAATTACTGTATATAATTAGTAAATATGTAATGTGTATGTGATTTGTAATTGTAGCACCCCCAAGATTTGAACTCTAGTTGCGCCACTGATGGCGGCGACAATTCAGACATACAGAGAAGACCGTCAACAACTCCATGTAGCACAATAATAGTGTAAATAATCACAACACAAGTTTTTGACAGCATATTGATGTGTATCCAACACGGCACATGATTTTAGGCATGATAAATTATTGTTGTGGGTACAAAAATAAATAAAGTTGATCATTAGAGTTTTAAAAAAGAGATTGTTAGAGTCATGATTTTATTTCGGTTGTTATTTTTAGCATTATTATAGTACCATTATAGGAAAATAATAATTGAGCCTAAAAATGCATTTATTTATAATTAAATAATTAATGTATATTTTCCCTCATTAAAATATGTTGTTGTTTAGGATTTTTTTTTGATAGATTTTAGTTTTATGTATTTCCTGATTTATCAGTTATCAACTAATATTTTAATTCACCCTTTGTATCTAATCGGGGCGTCATCTATTTATAGACAAAATATACTGAGTGATTAGTATGTAAGGTATGTAATAGGTCAATTGTTACAAACCATGAAAACAATAGAAAACCGTTTCCTTACTTGTTGCACACTCTATATATTTAATTAGGTAATAAAAATAATGATTTAATTTAGAAAATTACTGGTTACTTATGGTCTATTATTTTGGAATTAATTACCATTTTAAAAAATATAAATTTGACACCGAATATTTTGCGATACGTTTAATACACGGTCATCTCGCCTCTTTCGTCAGCCGTCTTTGTACATCGGAATCTAGCCTGATTAGAGTACCCCCCCCCTCTAATTAGAGTACAAAGTCTATTTACTGGAACGTGGTCGACTACAGAGTGCCGTCGATGAACGCTCTCTCATATTTCAGACGTCTTACGTGTGTGCTTATACTCTCCGCCACTCAGGGGCATATTGACATATTTTTTCCTAGTCATTTTAAATTGTTCCGCCATCCATAACGCAATGAAGTGGTGTAATTTTTATCTGTTTTCGCCATAAAACTACTAATTCCTCTCAAAAGAAAGTATTTAAGAATTCCATTGGTAAAATAAAAAAAATAATAATTTCAAATTTGTTTGTTCATTTTAGATATTATAATATATTGATGTAGTTATTATTATTTCAAGTTCTAATTATTACGTTTAATTATATTTGAAATAATTCAAAGATTACTATCAGTGTTATTCGTTCTTAAAATTCAAAAATTAATTTTCGTTCAAATAATTATTAGTTATAACTATTAATTTTCAATTATTCTTCTTGTCTATAAACAATGAAGACAAGTCCAGTGGACAAATTTTTTTTCTTAAACTATAATAGTTTATTACATAAGCATTAATTTAAGGTATATATAAATGTGTCAGTATTTCCAGAACATTTTCAAAAGTTAAGTTAAAGAGTTAATTTTTTGTGGAAAAGTTTCCATTTTTAAACCCTCCTTGTGCCTAGGAAAAGGGTCAAATGTTCACAAAAATATATCAAATGATAGGTAAATACCTAAGGTATCTATAAAATAAATTATGTTGATTTGTTTAATTTAAAAAGTTATAGCAGTTTTAAAGAAAACAAATTTCTAAAATTTGTAAATTTGTGGTGATTTCTTCCACATACGAGGAACGAGGGAAATTTTGAGAGTATTATCTTCAATTAGATACGATTTGTGATCTTTTGACGTATCGTTAAAAGAAATCGGTTCGGTGAGAGCTAAGAAAAAGTGGTAACAGACACAAAAAATAAAAGTAACAACATATAAGTAACCTTCTTTGCTAAGCATCAGCTAAAATAATTAAAAACAAAAAAAAATTTGTTGTAAAACATAAATGTTACCGATTATGGCAATTGCAGATTGCATTGGTCGGAAAATAAAAATAGCCATTTAAGCTAGTTTAAAATTTTTAAGTTATTTTTCTTGATTTAAAAAAAACAATAAAAATAAAATAAGTTTAACTTTATACTCTATGTCAATCATATTTTTACAATACTTATGAAAATCAGTGTACTCCCCTTATAAAGTATTTTACAATAAAATACAAAACCTAGGTTATAAACCTAGGTTATAACCTTAGGTTATAAAAAAAAACTTTTAGAACTTGCCCAGTGGATGGAAGTTTTGAACCTAAAATTTGAGTAGTCAAAGACCCTATTAAAAATATTTTATTGTCATTTCGTAATACTACGGACATTTTTACGTACACTAAAAGAAAAACACAATAGGAAGCAGTTCAACTTAATACGCGATGTGAGAGACTAAAGTGGTATAAGTATGAGTTCACTATATCTATTGCTGCGATTTATAATAAATTTATGATTTCCAGAGTTATTTATAATTTAAAAATAATAACAATACATTAATCCAGTCATACCATAGTATTATCGCCGTACTTGTATGATAAGTTTTGTAATGAACCAGATGATAACTAACAGAATCTAGCATTAAAATTCATATATTTAGTAAAAATCGTAATATGATCGAGTTATTTCAGCTATAGCAATAAAACGATCGATTCAATGGAATTTGTACTTATTACTTTTATTTCGTAAAATTTAATTTTAAACAATTTTTGTATGAAACATTAGGTCGTATCACATATGGTTCGTCATATATGATGAAATATTCGTAAATATACTAATTTCGGCAATTTTACGAAATATTATGTATTTTGACATTTTTCTAGAAAACTAATGGATTTAAAAGAAAAACTGTGAGAATTTAATTTATATAAAACAATTAGATCTATAATTTAGTTTTCATATTTTTTTTTGTGAGAGCGCTAATTTACGAGTTAATTGCTAAAAACTAAAAAAGTACCCCTTTTGGCCGATTTTCAACCCCAAGTCGGCACGGGTTAATCTTATCTGATCGGCCTGAAATTTTTTGTAGCCACTTTTTATATGTATACACACAAATTTGGGGGGTGAGCCCGAAGAATTTCAAAAATTTTCAAAATAAGGGACACCCCTTATCTNTGTAGCCACTTTTTATATGTATACACACAAATTTGGGGGGTGAGCCCGAAGAATTTCAAAAATTTTCAAAATAAGGGACACCCTAATATGTATATTTAATAATATATAAACTGTATAGTAATAGTAATAAGGACTTAATCATTGCGGATTGAACATAAGTACGCACGATTCTTGGTAATTTTATGTCTCGGTGACCAAATCGGTACATACGAAATTACACGAAGGTGATAAGGCCGTGGTTTGGATATTCTATTAAAAAGGGACTGTGGCCCAAAATAAATTGTCAAAACCATGGTAATGGTCATGACATTGATCGTCGACTTCTTGAATAGTTTCATATCCCTAGATAAACATCCTCTGTGTTTTCAAGGTTTGTTCAGAATGCTAATGTTTATTATAATACATATAAAAGGATTTAGAGGAGTTCGAATACAGTCGTTAGCAATACATGCACTTAAAAAAATATTAGATTTTTTTAAATGAAATAATATGATATTTAATGTTTGACAATTAAAATTAGATAAGTTATCCTAATATATGTAGCCAAAACGTTGCATACATTTATAATATGTGCCTTTATTTAAGTTAAATATGCTGCTAGAAGAATTCATATACATACAGAGTAATCGAAAGACATTCATTTTCTCAGAAACTATTAAGAATTTTAATTTTTTTTAAAGAGAAAAAATATCAAGTTCAAAAAACTCTACATTAATATGTAGTCAAATCATTATTTTTTCATCCTTTCAGGGATAAAAACCCTTATTTATAATTTTCTTAAATGAGAATTTTTAATTTTATATGATAGAAAAAAAAATTATAAGCAACTTTGTTCGTACAATTTTTTTTTCCAAATAACCGTTCGTCCGTTAGTTTGTTAAAGTTGAGTAATTTTAGGCCAAATTTCTATTGTTATATTACTGTATTAAATACAGAAGTCATTATTTTTATTTGCTCTTGCATAAACCAAATTTTATTGATCAAGTTATGATATGTAAATTAATCATAAAAATTTACGACGCACTAAATGAGTGATAACAATAATAGATACAAATCGGATTTTCGGTGTATTATTAATAGCAGTCTATGGGTATGTAAGACTAAAGCATAAATTTCTTAGTCTCCCTTCGCCATAGTATAGTAACTAAATACAATCAAATACTACGATAATGTTATCGTAATCATTCTTTACACAAAATAATCTTTTTAATTTTTGTTGACTGATATGAATTTAACATAACCATATAAACGCAAGTCTTTTAAAAGATTTTTGTTCGTTATTTAATTATTTTAAACATAACCATAAAAAACTAAACTGGTTCAGTACTAATTTGCCGGTTATACTACAAGCTTGGGTGGTCAAACATTTTTGTACATTAATAATGTTACATTTTTTAATTATCATCTAAATATAGTGTTTTAGTGTAGCATATTAATAAAAAACTGTTTTATTTGTATGTCGTTACAATTAATAAATTATATTTGAAAGTTTATTGAAATAATTAAATTAAAAGAATATCGAATAATAGCAGAATACAAAAGACAATGAAGTAAGCTTTATAGATTTGTCTTAATAATTTTATTTTATGAAATAGCAGCATAAAAAATGAAATTTACCGAAAAATTAAAGAGATTAATTTTTGAAGATATTAACAGTTTTGGATTTGCTGCTGTTGAAAGACAAAAATACCGAAAAACTTAACTTTTTTCTCTTTTGAGAAAAATAAGTTTTGCTGTAGTGACATTTTATTTAAAAAGTAAGTAAATATAATGATGTAATATTAGATGTGTAGTATAATTAAGGCCAGATTTAGAAAAACTCGAGGCTCCAAAAACATGTATTGATGTTTTGATTTTGGCCATAGATTTTTAATTTATTTTCCAACTATTTCAAAATGAGTATAATATACAGAACAATATTGGTATACTATATTTAATTTTATACCCATATTGAAATTAAACAATTTTGTATAATTGCGAATGTTATAAATGAAATGATATTAATAATATGATATTTTAAAAGATTTTGGATGTAATAAACTTCAATAACCTTTATTATGAAAGTATGTTAAAATACTATTTTTACATTGCTAAATTTAAATTAATGTAATTTTAAAACTGATTTTAAACTTTTCATTGATTAATTAAAATTATTTTTATCGTAGTTAAATTAGAGTTCTCAAATTGAATTATTGTATGGATCAGCTACTGAATATTAATACACAATTTAATAAGGAGAACTTATGATTGTGTTATGTTTCACTGTAGATAATAAATAAATATTAAGCAACCATTTTGATATGGTACTCATAGCTATTATTATTTAATTAAGCGTGCATGGATTAGAACACTAAGTAGCAACAAGTGTCCTGAAAATATATAAAAATTTACAGAAATTAAAATTATTTTGAATTTTGTTTAGAAAGTTGCCAACAGTAAATAAATTTGTTAAAAAAATTGTATTAATATAAATTCAGTTTTTAGTTATTATTTCATAATTAATAATCTATTCCTTAATTTGATTTCAGTTTTTAGTTTTGATACATGCTATTGTAAGTCATCATCTGTATTTTTAAGTATGCACTTGTAAGTAAACTAAGATACTTGGACGTCATAAGATTAATATCCTAATCATATTAAGAAACAAAAAAGATTGTAATGATGATTTTTTATTATTGTCTATCATAATAAAGTCATCTATCGAATAAACAAATAGTTCTCAAACAAACTAAAGTGAGTTTAATGAAACAAATTTTCCTTTTTTAGTATTACAAATTTTATTTCATGTAAGTTAATATATTTTGTTATAAATTTGATTTCAGTTATAGTTTTTGTACAATTTTGATGTCTATTGGTTTTGTATACACTTGTCTTAGCATACTACATTAGTAAGCTTTAATTTCATATCAGATCAACATTAGAATGAATTGTTATACTACAATGACAGTATTGTAGCTAAATTTCTCATTTGAATTTTCTTTAAACAATATTAGATTGCAAAAAATAAATAAATCTAATAGTAATTGTTAATTTTTTTAATTAAAATAGAGCAATGTAATAAAGTAATACATGTAGTTATTATAGTACTCTTTTTGTGATGTAATATTAGAGGGAGTAGTAAGAAAATATCTTAAAATTTAAGATATAAGTAATTCTTATTTTATATGTTACATTCAAGTATTTAAAAAAAAAACTATAGTAAAATGATTATTTAATTAGATTAATATAGATATTATGTTTACTACACTAGAATTTTGATATGGTTAAGTATATTCCGTTTGTTGAAAAAGGAAATTTTACTCAAAAGAAATAAATATTATAGATAATACAAATAAATTATTTGTAGTTTTATAGCTAAAATATTTGACTGTGGTAGGTTAGACTAGTTAATGCAATTAGTTTAAATTTTAAAAGCTGTTAATTATTAAAATAAATACATAAATTCATTAAAACTTCATAAATTTTAGTATTGCCAATTGGAATCAATCTGTTATATTTTTATAAATTAGTGTTGAATACAAACTTAAATTCTTAAATAATTTTAAGTCAATTTTTTTCTTTTAATAGTTCAAAAACCTTATTAAGTTAAAAAAAAATAATTTCCCTTGCGCTTGAACTTATCCTGGTTCTACTGTATTTTAAAATTGGAATCGGTGCCGTGCCAATAAAAGGGCATAGGATGATATAAGGTTCATACACTTTGCAATATTTAATTGTTATAATTGGCAGTTATTTAATATTAGAGGATGCTAACAAATAATTTAAAAAAAAATTATAAATATAATTTTTATAAATGAAAATAAATAAATTTTTACCTATTCTCTTTTCAATGTGTCAGTGCTAGGTTTTACAGTTTTTCTTGTGCTTGAAAGTGGTTTAGGTGGGATAAATTTCTTCCAATAAAAATTATTACATGATGAAGATATTATTTTTTTTTATTAAGGGAGAAATAATAGTTATTCAGAACAAAAACTTTATACTAGACCTAACCCCAAGACCTATAATAGTGGAGGCATGATTGCAATGCATTTTATGAGGAAACAAGGTTTTTTTTTGTGAAAATGGTTTTTTTTCATTAGGAATTGTTGAAATGTCTGTAGGAGGGTTATCTTAATACTTAATTTTCTATGGCATTACGCATATTCTACATGAATTCATGTATTACGCGTATTCTGTCATGAATAAAGTATAAAGTTTAACTTTCATGCAGGTGTTTCACAATTCCAAAGTGAAAAAAATTCTAAGTTGAGCAAAAGAAAAAAAGTTTTCTACAAAATAATGATAAAACATAATTGAAACGGTCATTTCAAAAATGATATAAGTAATAAAATTTTAATTTCCATGTATCAAAAAAAACTTAATTACTCTAGAAATCCAACTTGTTTTGCACTTACACCTATTTACTAATTTATTTTTAAGGTTTCTGGTATTCATAATTTATAGTTTTAAATAGTCTAACTTTGACCAAATTCATTAAATTGAAATAAAACATTTCTGATTTGCATTGTTTTTGCAGTGAATAGAAATTATAATATGAAATTTAAATCAATAAATAAAATAAAATAATATTTTTTTCCCTAAAAATTTAACTTATCTTAACTTGGCTATAGGTAACAAAACTTAGAATAACTTTTTTCAAAATACAAATTTTGTTGTTTTTGCTTAATAAACCATTGCACTTTTAATAAAACATTTAAAAAAAAATAAAATATTTCTCTTTAATAACAAAAACTTAACTTGATAAAATGTTACAATACAGAAACATTTTTGAATGAAGTCAATGACTTTTGTAGTAAACATGAGTCTGACAAATGAAATGTTTACACAAAATACATAAGTATACATAATAATGTATAATTATCAAATTTGACAAAGTCATTACTGAAAAATCAGTGACAAATGTAGTTTTTGAAATAACTGATTTAATTAAAGAGCTGGTTTCAAAAACAACCAGCATTTGTATAACATACAAATTCACGCAATTTTGAGCCTTAATGAGGGTTGGGTAATACAATTTATATTTGGTTTTATTTGTACAATGCATAATACACACATACTGGTGTTCAGTAAGTAAGGAAAGGGGTCAATTGTTATGAACATAAGAACTATAGATACCTGTTTCTTTACTTACAGAACATGTATACATGTTGATGTATAAAATGTATAATACTTTAACTGTTACTTTTACTGTTAAAAAATTTTTATTCTTTAATAGATCACACTGATTTTAAAACTATTTATTTAATAAACATCAGTTTATGATCTCATAAAATAAACAAAATATTAACTTTTTATGTTTTGTGTGATAAATTATGTGTTAGTCATTCTTGTGGAAATTTTTTGGGATTTCACCGATTATATGATTATATTTTTAAAGTGAAGTAAAAATTAATTAAATAAATACAATATTTTAATATAAATTAAAAAAATAATCTATTTTTAATTATGAATCATTTGTCATGATATGAGTATTGTTTGTAAAAAAGTCGATGTGTAATATGTACATCTAATACTTATACTTTTGTGTATTATACTGACCCAACTCTGACCTTAATAGACAAACGATCAAAAGTGTCATTTTGTTGAGGCCCACAAAAAATATAGTATTTGATAGTTGTTAATTATTTCTATGTACACATATTTATTCATTTTAAATGTAAGTATAGTATTAATTATAAATTTTTTGTTCTAATAATAATGTATTTATCAGAATATAGACAAGATATAATACAAATTAGTAATTATAACTTTATAATTAAAATATTGCAAAACATTTTTCTATACTAATATAATAACTTTATGGATTAATTATGTAATGGATTATTCAATTAAATTAAGATTACGATTGGATCCAAAAATATTTATGTAATGTAATTATTGTAGGAAATATCTAGCAAATTTTAATGTAAAAATATTAGTAACAATGTATTATAAGCCATTTAAAATTAAATTTTTTACTTTATTAATAACTAATTTTGTAAATATTTCTGTATAGTTGATTAAATTCTCTTTAAAAGTGTAATTTTTAATTTTACCTTGTTATTTTTTTATTTTAATACAAAATAATATTGAAATGTAAATAATATTATATCTATTATTGACTGATTAAGTATTAAGTTTATTTTTTTGTATCTTGTACAGCATTAAAAAATTGAAAATTGTACCATTTTAAAAACAATAACTGATTTGAATTTTTATGGTTTAATTTATCAAAATAAAATTTAATATGGTTTTGGTAATACNTCAAAATAAAATTTAATATGGTTTTGGTAATACAGTGAAATTCTAAGAATATTTAACATACTAAAAAATAAGTTTTGAATTTAAATCTATGATTTTAGTTTAAGAACAGTGATAAATATCAAATTAATTTAAACATGAAATAACAACTAATTAGATAATTGATTTACTCTTTATTTTGAAATTAGAACTCTTTTAAATCGTATAAATTGATTCTTGATATTGTGTAAGTAGTAAATATAGTTATTAAAATAGTTAATTAACTAACATACCAATGTACTGCAAAAAAAATAATGTACACATTGATAGCGATGAAACTTAGCCGAGTTCTTATAGCCGATAGGAGTTATAATGGGATAAGTTACTTCTAGCATCTCTAGGAAGGGTCAATTATTAATAATTTTTTTTTATTGAAAAATTATTAAAAAGTTATTTAAAATTTAAGTGGGTAAAAAGTATAAAAACACTGAATATTCATTATTGCCAGTATTCATAAAAATACGCGCTCTTTATCTTTTTTTTTTATATTAAAAAGTTTGGTTTTACCTGATTAGCGGGAAAAGGAAAAAAGGGAAGTTTTTATACGCGCAAATTGAAAACTGCTCCTCTAAAATAACTAAAATACTACCATATACATATAAGTATAATTATAACCTAAAATTAACCTTCTAAATGTAATCGTGCTTAGACTTACATGAATTTACAATCCTTTGCATTAAGAGTGTTGTGTTNTAATAACATGTATGTTGGTTAAACTATACATGAAACTAATATAAACGTGTTAAAAATGAATATCATAATACGTTATTGTTAATATTATAAAAATTATGGAATATTTTTCTTCAAAATTTTATGTTGAAGTACCAAGTATAATATACATATGAGCTATTCATAAAGTCACATCTGATTACTTTTATTAATAAAGCTTCACTTTCATTAATTAGATGTTTACAAAACACGTTTTACTGAAGTTTATTATATGAATTATTGAGTTGTTTTATTTGATTCTTCTACTATTAGTGAGTAATATTTTTTTTAAACAATTTGCAATTTTTTACTAACGCATCATTTATTATTCATAAATGTATATGTTTACGAGAAGATCAGTGAAGGATATGACACTCGATTTCTGAAGAACTATTGAGAATTAAAATTTTTGAAAATAAAAAAATATTAGGTTTTTAAAACTACAAAGATACATTTTATTGAATATGAAATAAACCCCTAATTATGTTTAACAAAAAAAGAATGANGAAATAAACCCCTAATTATGTTTAACAAAGAAAAAATAAAGATCATCTAAATAAAAATTTCGGTCATTTTATGTATTCTTACAAATTAGAAAATTTGATATATATATATTTTTTTAAATTAATTCAATTGATGCTGACTTAAAAAAATTAAAGTTAAAAATTATAATTTTTATAATTGGGAACCCCTATTTTTAATCTGTTAATATAATAGGAAACAAATTTGTTTTGACAATAAAAAATCATTAGTAAATTGATATCATATTACTAAACTTATTATTGCAATTTATGTGCTTTTGAAACAGATTTTTGTTGTTATAGTGGTGGGAATTAATAAATAAAAAAATTATGCTTTCATTAAAAAAACATAATTTTATATTAATTAAAACAATTAATGTACATCTAACATAAACGGTTTTATGATTATCATTACAGAATAATAAAGAACTCATTAAATATTTAAATAAAACATTAACGAGTTTATATAATTTGATTAAATTTTATAAACAAATTGACCATTGGTACTAAGATTGAATTTACCAAGGTATTATTAAAATGAAAAATATTTTAAATCCGCTGAAAAATTAAAAAAATCTTTGACCAGACAAGGAATGC